GTGGCTGCAGCGGCTGGAGCTCCTCTGTGTGCTCTACGCCCAGGGCAGGAGTGCCCCCGCAGGCGCGTAAAAATCTGTGTGAAAGGTTTAAGTACTACCAGAGGGGCCGTACCAAAGGCTGCATTGTTATCACCAGGGCTTTGATTAAAGGTAACAGTTTAAATTAAGGATTGGTTTATAAATGTTCTAGTAATATTTAATGAAAGAACAGTAGAAACTGCTCCATTCCTTAATAACTTATAATAGAGTCTGTTGTAAAATGCCTCTGTAATAAATCCCTAGCAGATGATGCTCTGACATACTGGTTAGAGTAGACCATAACCAGGAGATGTTGGGGTATATATTCTCCTTGCCTCCCAGGAGTGTGACTCTCATTACCCTTAATGGGAGCCTTGCAAGTTTTCTGAGGAGGGAAGACACTCAAATGCTAATAAGAGGTATTTAAGGCACAAAGCATGCAGTAAAGTACCTACAGTTTAATGAAAAATTGTCAAAGGACAAGCATGCTGGGTAGCTGTAGCTCTTGTTGAAAAACTGGACAGCAAAGCCCCCCCCACCCTGTTGCTGAACCACAGTGACACAGGCTGAGATCAACGCCTGAGCTGAAGTGGCAAGTCTGTCAGGCTGACCTGTGTCTGTGCTAATCGATATTTTCTAAGGCTCTCTTCATATAAGTCAGAGCGAAATTTGTTCGGAGGCTCTGGTGTAAGGAAGGTATGTGTGCCTGAGCCTCTGCATCTGTGTGAAACCATGCACCTCCTGAAAACCAGTCTGTGGCTGCACATGGGCAAGCCAGTCACAGCCCTGTCTGTGCCACCAGCCCTGGTTGTCATTGGAGGAAAGCTCAAGTTTGGTAGCTCCTAAGCACACCTGGCAGCAGAGCTGGGGTATATGGTGGAAAATGCCATTGTCTGGACAGTGGCTGGTGCAGCGGGGAGAGTGCACAAGCAGCAGCTTGGGTCTGTACCCAGTCTTGGCCCAGAAGCTACTGTGCCTGGGCTTTCTTCTCTCCCAGATTTGCTTTGTTTTATTGGGGGGGGGCGGGGGAGAGATGGATGAACAATGTGCTAAACACTGAAAATTCAGGTGCGTGTGAGATCCTGTCAATCTGAGACAGCTTTGTGTGAGTGGAAGCCTGGCTGCTAGAATGAAGAGGGACCACTGGGAGCAAAATGCACAAGCCAGGATGTGCAGAGGCTCAGCTTACTGCAACAACATTAATGCTCTGTATTGAGGCATAAACTAAAATGTGCCCTGTGGGACTGTGGTGAGAATTAATGCCACTCTGGAAATCCAGGCTTCTTGATTCCTTGACTTTTTCTGTCTTAATTCTCAAGCTGGCTGTTTCATACACTGGGGGGAGGCATGATTTACTGTTCTACTTGCTTGTGATTCATAAAAGCAAAACTGCTGGCAGTCTGCAGAAGAGGCCTTGACCCCTCTTGAGCACATCAGTTTCCAGAATATCTGACCAATAAAGCAGGTACTGGGGCTGACTTTTTGGTGATGTCTGAGCTGCAAGTAGCCTTCTGTAGCTGCCTTGCATGGGCTTCAGGAATGCAGTGTGCAGCTCTGCCTGTTGGCCACATAAGATGTGGCTGCAGTCTGTCCTGCACGTGCCTGGCATGGGCTGCGTGCTCCGCTGTCAGCGCTGGCCTCGGGACGCAGGTACAGGACTGGTGGTGCCAAGGGGGACGTTGTTTCATTGTGTCTCTGTGGGTACTGGTGGTACTGGCCCAGAGCTGGCACATCCACCCAAGCAAATCCCATTCTGCTCCCACTCTGCACAAATTGTTTCTCAGTGCTCCACATGGGAATTCTGGTCTGACTGCCCTGTGGGTGGCCTGGCTTCTGCTCTGAGCATAGGATTTAATTATCCATGGCAGCAGCATAACTCTCAGAGCCGCCATTGTTATTAATGGCCATAAAAAGAACCATAAAAACCTGGCATGTTACATTTCTTATAATATATGCTAATAGAGAACAATGTAGTGTCCCTTTTTGGTTTTGACCTCCTTCTCTGCCTTTTCTTGCAGGTCCATACATGCGCATGCTCCCTTGCACACCGCCTAAGCCCATGACTCCTTACAGCATGGATTCTCTCTCCCTTCCTTGCCTTTACAACCAGCTCTTTTTGCGCTGTCCTTCATAGCATAAGTGTTGCATGTGCAAGTGCGGCTTGCACACTTGAATACAGGATATGGACAGCGTGTAAGTTGCCTAGTTTGTCTCCTGTTCTTGGATGTTGCTAGCTGTAGTATGCAGCTTGGATTTCGGATTCAATGAACCTTTCAAAGGCAGACCCAAACCGTCTGGATGCCATGTTAGGCCAACTCCTACCACTCAGTAAGCCCTGAATTCCCATAGTGTCTGAGATGTCTTTTTGGAGGGAGATGAGCAACTAAATGGCCCCACTGGAGTAGTGGGAGCTGCAGCATGGCATTTGCTGGTGTCCACAAAGCTCTGGAGAATGATTCCTGTTTCTGCAGTGCTGAATGATGATGAAGAAAAAACACTTCTTTCTTTCCTATACACCAGTCACTATCTCTTGTGCTTTGAGAACTAAGTTTCAGACACTGAAACTCTATGTGGGTTTGTGTTCTGTAACCCAAAATCAGGTCCCAGAACTTCTCCTGCACGTGTTGACGGTCTAGGCTGGCTTTTTTGGTGTATGAGTGGGGAGCTTTGTATGCACAAACTTCGGAGGCATGATTTTCTGTGCCAGCTATGAGAATATCTTGCAAGAGCTTGCAGGTGTTAGTCATATTTAGGCTTTGGGCTGCCTTCCTCATTCACTGTCAGTTTGCAGACAGGGTGCAGCTGATCTTTGTCTGCTCTGTGTAACCGGCTGCTCTGTTGCTGCTGGAGGAGGCTGTGCTTTTACAGGAGTCGGCACGTACATGTGCTTGGCTGCTTCTGCTGGGAAACGGCCACTTCTGCCACTGGTGGGGGGTGTTGGTTCTGGGTGAGAGCACTGCAGTCTGACTGCCGAGAGCCCCTCTCTCACCCTGCATCAGGCTTGCAGCTGCAGGGGCCGTAAGCCGCAGCTTTGCCTAGCAGAACATGGGAGGTTTAGTGCTAGTTCCTATTCTGGCTCCAGGAAGCCCGTCCTCACCAAAATCCTCTTCAGATGCTGAGATGGGCACAGAGTGTGTGACTCCCAGTGCATTTATGTGAGAGGAGAAAGTGTGCATTTAAATTTGCAGGCCAAATTATCATGTTGCTTTATATCACCCTGCACTCTCTGTACCTCTGCAGAATATTCACCTTTATAGGGGCAAATCTCTTCTTCAGCAGGCAGCTGTGCCCGCATGCTCGTGTCTGTTCCCGTGTTCTTCGCAATGCCCTTTCTAATCTCTGGCCAGCATGGCTGGAGACTCGCTGCTGCCTGCAATCCCTGCCCACAGCCTCAGGGGGAAAACTGAAAACACTCAATACCCAGAGCGGGAGCACGACGTGGCGCTCTTGGCTCCAGCAGTCTTGCAGGGTTCCCTTTGCAGGGTTATTGACTGCTACAGAACAATCACAGCAGGTAACATCATAGGCCTTGTGATAGTTGGTGTTTTCCTTAAAAGCCCAGCTTGTCAGTTTGGGAGAGTGATGGGAATCTTGCTTTTTACTGAAAGGAAGAGGTTGTTCTTAAAATCTGTCATTCTGTTGTGTGCAGGGAAAAGGCAGAGGACTTGATATGACAGAACGGCAGGGGTTGGAAGCGACCTCTGGAGATCATCTAGTCCAGCCCCCTGCCGAAGAAGGTTCACCTAGAGCAGGTTGTGCAGGACTGCATCCAGGCGGGTTTTGAGTATCTCCAGGGAAGGAGACTCCACAACCCACCTGGGCAGCCTGTTCCAGTGCTCTGTCACCCTTCATGGAAAGAAGTTTTTCCTCATGTTGAGGTGGAACTTCCTGTGCTCCAGTCTGGCTTTTATGATTATTTAAAACAGCTCCTGAGCTCTAGAGCCTGTCTCCTGCTCTAGAGACTTAGCTGGTGAGGGCTTAGAGCTACTTGTGCCAGGGAAAGCAGGATGAGAGATACTGGCCTGCTGGGATGAAGGTTATTTGTGTGCAGTCATTAGTTGTTTCATCCTTACCTGTCAGCCTTGCTCTGTTTGGAGACTGACCGCAGCCCTAGTCCTGGGGTAGTAAGGGTGGGCTGGGAGAGGAGTTGTTGCTGCAAACAGGCTGCATTGGGCTGATAAACTGTTGGATTTGTGTGACATGGTGGTGGGAGGCAGAACATGTTTCTCTGCTGCTCTTGCCAGTTTGCTAAAAATGCTCCTCGGTGCCTGGAAACACAGATATCGGTATGTGCATGTTTGTGTGTGCTCATGGCTTTATGCAGGTCTGTGCACCATCCCAGAAGTTTCTTCACCAGAGCTGTGCCCAGGGTCGGGGGAGTCTGAGCATGGGTGATGAGAGCCTGCAGAGAAGCAACGCTTATTTAGGGTGATTGCTCTTTTTAGCAAGACTGAAGATTAACAGTCCTTTTCAGATACTAGTGCAAGAACTGCAGTTGGTTTGGGACCAAATTGTGTGTTTGGTAGTCTTGAGGAAATTAGGTTGTATCTACTACTGTGCAGTGGGAATTAATATTAAAAGGTGAGGGAGGGATTTAGCTGCTAAAAGAAGGGACAAAGGGGTGAGAGTCCTGGCCCATCTGTCAGAGCTCACTGTGGGTGTCTCCCTCTAGGGCACTGCTGCCTGTGTGCTGGCACGGGCAAAGCTGATTCCAGCCAGGAACAAGCCCCTGCTAGGTGCTCCTCTCTGAGCAGTGGCAGTGCAGGTGCTGTCCTAGGAGGCATGGGGCACAGTGGTTTGAAAAGAACTTGGCCATCTGCTATGAAAGGTGCCATGTTAGAAATCTGCAGGCTGCAGCATCCCTCAGCCACAATAGTTGTGCAACCATAATGTTTCCATCTCTGGATCGCAGCTCTGTACCTTATTTGCTGAAGAGACACCACAAACCTCCTGAACCTAGTGCCTAGTACCTCTCTCAGACCGCCTGTAGCTTCTGCCTCCCAAATTGTCCTGAGCTGAAGGACAGGAAGGGGGGCTGTGCATGTAGGACGGAAGAAGTGCTAGTTCTTGGGGCTAAGACCCCATCTGCAGTGGGCTGACCTCCTCCGGGATGTATGCCTCAAGCAGCACTTGTGTCTTGGCAGATATGTTGATATTTCTGTGTCCCTGCAGGCAACTGTGAGCAGAGATGAAGATTCTGCAGTTTATTTGGCAGGTGCCTTGCCACCCCTGGGCTGAGGCAGAGATCTGTTTGCTTTAACTGACTAAGCTGCTGGGAGGAGTGAATTTGTTTTATCCAGCTAAATGGAGGGGATAGAGAAGACAGATCCAGACTCTTCTCAGGCACACCCAGTAAAAAGACACAAATGGCAGGAACAGACTTGTCACCATGAAGGTGGCATTTCCATCCTTGGAGATACTCAAAACCTGACTGGGTGTGGCCCTGAGTAATCTCATCTGCTTTTGAAGACCACCTGCTCTGAGCTGGAAGGTGCCTTGTCCAGAGGGTCTCTGAGGATGTGGACATCTGAGCTAGAAGTATCTGAGAGCAGAGCAAAGACCTTAATGGTGGGATTCCTGGAAGGCAGCTACCTGCCGAGTACTTTGTCCTGCTTTGTTTTTATCACCCAAAGAGTGTCTGCTGTTTGAGCAGATCTGATGGTATTTATGTGATGCTGTAAGTGTCCCCTTGCCTGGTAATTATACTGATTAGTCTGGATCGTGCTGGAAAGCCACGTGTGCCTTGTACCAGAGGGTATGCCACCATGTGTCTGTATCATTCAACTATAACAGATGCTGACAAGAACTAGGGAAATGAGTCTGAGCTGGAAGTCGTTCTTGCTTTGCTAGCAGTGTCTGGGAAGGACAAAGTTTGGCAGTTTTTCTGTCTGGAAAGAAGGTGAATCTTGGGAGCTGATAGTGAGGACTTTTCCATGTTCTGCTTACAGTAGTGGGGGTCCCTGCCTCTTCTGTCTCTGCGCTCTGAGAATAGGTCTGCCACCATCACTTGCTGCTGCTTCTGCAGGGTGCCTGGGGGTCAGGTTTTGGGAGCAGAGGCTATCCTGGCTCTAGGAGATGGAACCACGCGAGTTTGCTGCTGGTGAGTTAAAGTTTAAGGCAGCACTCAGTGCCATATTCAAGGAATTGTTGTGGGGTATGTTTGGAGACCCTTATTTGTCAAGGCCACTAGCAAATGGTAAGTGGTGCCTCAGCCTGAAAGACAAAACCAGCATGACACTTGGAGTAGTAGCCTAGTGTGACCCATGCAACTTTAGGCGGAACACCTTTCTCTGTGACAGTCCTGCTGGGGCTCTTGGAGGCCTGGGGCATGGGGCGGTTCATCTGCATCAGACCCCCACTTTTCCCGGGTAGACTGGCCAAACAGTGTCTTGGCAGGAGGTGGCTTCTGCTCACAGTCTTTATCCTGCCAAAGACAAGGATTTTGTCTGCCTCATGCCACTAGAAGAGCCAGAGCCAGCTGGGGCTGTTTGTCTGCCCTGCGCTGCACGTGCCATGTGGCCTGGACTTGCTCCCTGCTGGGACGGGTGACCTTGGAGGTGTTCTGGGAAGCGCCTGAGCACTTTCCTCCCATCTTGCATGGCGTATTATGAGCTGTATCATTACGAGCAGCTCAGTTAAGTCATTACAGCCTCGGTGAATGCATGAGCTTTTTCCCTCTCATCCCAATTCATCACTATTGTGCTGACATGAATCATTTTCATTATAAAATGCTTCAGACCCCGTTAATTAACAGAATTGCTTAAATTTCAATGAGATAGTGCTTGCCCAGAAATAACGGGTTTGTATTCATAGCGGAGTGGCAGGAGAGGCTATAAGCGTGACCAGCTGAGGCCAGTCTGGTGCAGCCCTGGGTGCTTGTAAGAGGCCAGCCCTGCCTGTTCTCAGATGGGAGGTTGCGGGTCTGGGTTGTGTGCCTGGAGGTGTGTTTGGTGCTCCCTCAGCCCCTTTGGACGAGGTGGGGTGGGACTCCTGGTCAAATGGCTTCCTCTGAACAGACCCAGGATGAACAAGGGAGCCAGTGCAGACCCTGGGCCCCATCACAGGGTGAACACCCACTGTCTTCCAGTGGAGGGATGTTACCTAGCAGAAATTCTGCAGTGCTCTGTGCTGCATCTCACCTGCATGTTGGCCAGGAGCATGGACCTTGGTGACTGAGTGACAGAAGGGCTGAGAGTTACCCGTGTGTGTAAACAGGCAGATGCTGGAAGTGCTTGAGAGATGGTGGGTGAGACAGAGCCTCCTCTTGATTCATGGGGCTGAAGGCAGTGGGAGTCCACGTAATTACAGAACTGAAATGACAGAGGGACAAGGGAAGCTGGGTGAAATTGTGCCTGTCCATGAGAGCTGTGGAGCTGCAAGGATCTGAAATGGTGGTTATGATTTTATAATAAATCCTAACAGTGATAATCATTGGAATAATTGCTAGTTTCAGAAAGCAAGGAGAGATAAATGTCTCCAGTGTTGCCAGTTCCTGCTGCACCTGTAATGTCATGCAGAGTTGGGGGGGACAAGAATTTCATTCTCCCAGCTCAGTGGCATTTCTGACTGCCTTTGGGCCACAGCACCAGTGGCTGCTTGCTGTGAGCCAGCCACCCACAGCCTTTGTCAGGAGGTGGACAAGGTCATGCTAGATACATGAAGGGGGAGACTGTGGCAACCTGCTGGCTGTGGAGGGCTGATGCCTGGAAGCCTCGAGGTGTGTCCCTGAAGCTGCATCTTGTCTCCTTGCAGCTCTCCCTCCACTGTGCTCAGGTTGTGCTGAAGGCATCCCAGAATTGTCTGCCTTCAGCCAGGTGGCCTGGATGGCTGCGATGCTCTGCCATTGCTCACTTTGTTGTTTGTCTTGCAAGTTGCTGAGAGCAACTGGATGATTCTCTGCTTTTCACTTGGCAAGGAAGCAGCTCCTTGTTCCCTCCAGGTCAGACCCCCTCACTGGAGACCCACGTGGTGCAGCCAGGCAACACCTCCAGCATCTTCCCTAAAGACGGGCAGGATTACTGGTGAAACAAAGCAAAGATAGATTTTGCAGTTCACAGTAGGAGGAGGTAAAGCTAATAGTTAAACAGAAAAGCCTGGAAGAGAGAGCAATTACAAAAACATAAAACAATTTCTAAATCTCTGGGAATATTAAGAAACTGAGCTGGAGGGGGTTTTAAGCTGCTTCCTAGCTGTTCTGGGGTGTTACTGGGATAGGAACCTGGGAACGTTGCTGCTAATGACCTTGCATCCATGTATGCACTCATGCCTGCCCCTGGTGCCACCTCAGGGCAGAGTCATTTCTTTCTTTCATTCCTAAAATATTTCTTCTCTGCTTTGTTTCCATGTAAATGAAACACTCCTGGGTGACATAGGAAGTCGTAACTTCTGCCATTCACAGTGTTTTCTGAGGTTTATGACTTTGTTTCTTGTTTTACATTCCTTTATGTTTTAGTCCTGGTCACTTCCCCCAAGCCCAGATGACTACTGAAGACCCATAAACACTTGTTTTTAACAGACTTCGTTTCATAAAAAGCACTAAGATACCACACGTGTTGTTAAGCTTTACAGTCAATGGTGTGTTCTCAGCCTCTGACACAGAGCATGTTTATAATCTCTGGCCTCCTTAATTTAGAGGGGCACTTGAAAGTGAGGGGTTTTGTGCAGACAGACTTTGGAAATACACTGCCCCTCCTTCCCCTAATCAAACAGCGGGCCAGCCACGCTGGGGCCATGAGGCACCTGGGAAATGGGGCTTGGGCCAGAGCAGAGGTGCTCTGTTAGGAATGCTGCAGCAAGCCTGGCTCCTGCTTGAGCAGATAAGGATAAGCTGGCTGTTGCAGATTTGTGCCAAAGGGGTTTTGTGACTCAGCCTGGGCTTTTAGACAGCCTTTCTGTGCAAACTTTGAGGCTGGCCCCGGTGCAGCCCCCACATCTGGGAGTCCTCTCTCGCTCCTGTGCCTCTGGCCCCCACCAATCCTTCACCCAGCCTTCCTGGGGAGAAGTACAAGCCTCTTCTGCACCGGAGTTTAACCCTGTCAGAGCTACTGGCAGCCCGCAGTAGAAGCAACAGTTGGGAACCTTTCGTGCAACAGGCCTGTGAATCAGCTGCAGAGACTTGCTGGGATCAAGTTGGGCCTGTGGCCGTTCCTGGGCTCCAGGGGGTGGGTTTTCAGGATGCTTCTGCCTGGCTGAGAACCCGCTGGGCTTGTTCTTTTCTCCCCTCAGTCGGCTTTTGCTTACATGATCTCTCTGAAGGCTGCAAAAGGATTTGCTCTCTTTGCACTGAGGCCGAGCAGATGTTTGTTGTGGCCAGCAACATGCTTCTATGGCACAGGTGGCTGTGTTAGGAAGAGCATCACCAGCAGTTGAGGGAGGTGACCTGTCCCTTCTCAGCACTGGTGAGATGACGCAAGCGCTGTGTCTGGTTCTGGGCTGCCAAATACAAGAGACAGGGGCATACGAAGATTGGTGAAGTATTGGATCAGTATCTGCCAGATGCAGAGGCTGGGAGATCTAGCTGATCCTGTTTAGAGCCGGATCTAGGCAATCTCCCGTGGCCCCTTCCAGCCTCACCTCGTACACGAGTCAGCAGATGCTCTGCGACCTGCCTGTGCTCATGCTGTCCTGCCGGTTTCCAGGTGTGATCCGGACAGCTGTGGCTGACCTGGACCGTGAGACGCAGGACCGGTATGAGGTGGTGATCCGCGCAACGGACATGGCAGGACAGCTGGGTGGCCTATCTGGATCCACCACGGTCACCATCGTAGTCACCGATGTCAATGACAACCCACCACGCTTCCCTCAGAGTAAGTTCTGACAGCAGTGGGCGATGAGCACTGGCCCTTGTCCTGGTCCAGGCCTCTGGTGGGTGGTGGGACAGAAGCTCAGCTCCCAGCGCAGCCTGGCACAAGTCTGCAGGGTGAGCCAGCCCGGCTGCTCGTGCCACTTGCAGGGTGGCAGCACCGAGGTACTGTAGCATGCACAGCTCTTTGCCTGAGTCTGAAGGCGTCCCTGCCTGGCAGTGTGATGGAGAGGCAGCTGCCTTGGCTGAGCCTGTCCAGGACCCTGGACGAGACCCCTGTGCCTACTGCTAGCGCTGGGAGTGAGCAGAGCTGGCGCTTTCCTGATCCCTCTCTGAGCAGTGCTGGAGGAGAAGGCAGCCCGGTCTGTCGCGCTGCTGCCTCCTGGGAGCTGGGGCAGGGACTCGGCTGTCGGCTGCTGGCCTGGCCCCTTCTGGCTGCTGTATCAGAGCTTGGCATGCTCTGCCCCAACGAGAGGCACAGTGACACTGCCCGGTTCACAGACAGCAGCCTTGTCACAGGACAGCTCTGTTTTCCAAGTCACTGCTAGTGGCCTGTGGCTCATGCTTGTGTCTAGTCTGGGACCCTTGCCAAACAAGGAGGGTGGGTGATCCTGCTGCAAAGAGTGGGCTGTACAATCTCTGCAGTGCACACCAGCTGCAGAGACCAGCAGCACGTGGCTGGCAGACCAGAAAAGGTGCTGCAGCTGGAGGAGGCTCAGCTCTTTAGCTGCATCTCCGAGAAACTAGAAATGGTAATGTTTGTGAAGAATCGGAGGACACTGATTGCAGGGCAGTGTCTGTACAAAGAAATCAGCCCTTACTTCACCCAGCACCCTGAAACATCAGTGCTCCCCAGTTATCTTCCCTCAGCCCTTAGTTTTGGCTGGGGTATGTGTTTCTCCTGGTAGAGCATTCTGGACTATAGACACTGGTAGAGTTTGGGCAGCCCTCATAGACCAAGGGCCTCCTCAGGGAGTTATGTGAAGGGCTGTAACAGGCTGGAGGGGGTTCAGATGCAGAAGCAGTGACCCTAGTACCTTTTTCTCCTCCAGAGATGTATCAGTTCAGCATTGTTGAAACTGCCCCTGTGGGCACTGCCATCGGGAGGGTGAAGGCAGAGGACTCTGATGTCGGGGAGAACACGGACATGACTTACCAGGTGAAGGATGAGGAAGGAGTGGAGATGTTCAAAGTCACCACGGACAGCAATACCCAAGAGGCTGTCATCACGGTACAGAAGGTGAGAGATGAGGAAAGCTGGTTGGGTAGTGAGGGCACAGATCTCTAGGAGGGCCCTTTGCTTTGGGGACTCCTGCTGCTGCGTTTGAGTGGAAATAAATGCTCCTCTGAGCACTGCTCTAGCAGTAGCAGTTGTGGTGTTGTGCCTGCAGGTGCAGGGAGAGACCTGCCTTTTCTCTGTCTGGATGGCAAAACGCAGACCTGTGTCTGGGAGGAAAGGCTGAAAAGGAGCAGCAGCACAGTGCCTGCTGGAGCCTTTGCAGGGGGCTCCCTGGGGCACAGCGAGGGAGTGAGCCGTGCATGGGTGGAGCCGTGCATAGGGCTATGGAGACCAGTGCTTACGGCCATTATTGATAGCACCTCTTAGGGGAGAAATATGCCCACCTAATTCCTATACCTGACCAACAACACTTTGTGTCTGCTTTTGGTGGCAAAAACAATCAAGCAAACACTTGATGCAGGCAAGAAAGAATGATTGTTCACCAAGACCATTGCATTCAGCTTGCCTCCCCTGTAGAAATAATAGCAGGATGATTAATGATCAAAACCTGCTCACTTGCAGCACACAGTGTGCTGTCTTCCCATGAATCCTGGCTGCCTGCACTCTGCACGGCCTGGGGACCCTGGGGGGAGTGGACTGGGGGCTTCCTCCTCCACCTGCCCCCTTGGTGTGGGTGCTTCTGGTGGGAGGGCAGAGCATGAGCTGCCAGCGCTGCCTGGGGAGCCGGTGGCTTTAGCGCTGCCCGGATGTCGGTGGTGAAGGAAGGGGCAGCAGGGAGGCTCCTCGGGCCGAGTGTGCCTAACCCTCTCTTCTTGTCCCAGCCTCTCGACTATGAGTCAAAAAAAGTGCACACTGTCGTTGTGGAGGCCCTCAACAAGTTCGTGGACCCGCGGTTCGTGGACCTGGGCACGTTCCGTGACCAGACCATCGTGCGAGTCTCAGTGCTGGACGTTGATGAGCCCCCTGAGTTTCGTCCACCCTCTAACCTGATGGAGGTTCAGGAGGATGCACATGTTGGCTCTGTTGTGGGAGTGGTCACTGCCCTTGACCCGGACACAGCGAACCATCCTGTCCGGTAAAGCAGCTGCCTAAACTTCACATCATCTTCCTTCCAGCAGTGGGTGTGGGGTCACATTCAAGGGTCACACGTGGGCTGGGGGCGCTTGTGGCCGTGGCTGGGGCAGAGGGGAGGTGATGGCAGAGGACGAGGGGCAGTGAAGGTGACAAATGCTGTACATGTGGCCCAGGGCATGAGTGTGTCCTATGGGACAGGCAGCTGGCAAGTGAGCAGCAGCCTGTGCACAAGCAACAGGCAAGCGAGAGTAGCCATCTCACACGTGATGGGTTTGTGAGTGGCAAGGGAGTGTCGGGGAAGGTGGCTGGGTGATGCTTGCATGTCCGTGTTGCTGACAGTGAGGCATCTGCAGTGGTGCCTGACGTAGGCCAGACAAGTGACCAGTGATGAAGGATGACAAAGGAGGTGAGGCTTGGGAGGTGCAGAGCCACAGCTTGGCTGTGTGTCCGTGTGTGTGTGCACAAGGATCAAAGATCAGAGGAGTTTATATTTGGGCAGGGGACATAATCCAGGCAGCAGCTTATCTGCACAGGACATTTCCTATTTCCATTTAATTTGTGGCTAAAGAGATTGTTACCTTGTTAAATTGTTATTGCCTAAGGCACAAAGCAGCCTTCTGACTTTGCCAACTGGCCTGAGTCACGAGCAGTTGGGTTGGAAAGCTGGTGTTCAGAAAACATCCTCAATGCGTGGAAAGTTTCCTTGAAATGTGTGTTCTCGTGCCAGGTGACAGCAGGGCTGCAGGCACCTTGTGCACAGCCGCTCGCTTTAAATGAGCAGCAGTGGCTTTGCATTTGAGAGCTCTGCAGGGAGCCCATCCCAGGCAGTGATAAACTGGGACACAGCAGGGACAGAGGGGTGGGATGGAGGAGAATGTGGCCAGGGAAGGCCCAGTTACATCGTTGATGTCCTTGCATGGCTGCTTGGGGTGCTGAGCTCCAGTGCTGTGCAGCCACGGGGGAAGCACTGGTTCAAGGTGGGGTGAGGGATATCTCCTGATCTTCGTGGAAATGAAGATTGAGATGTTTAGAAAGCTCAGAAAAGAATTTACCCATGGAAAGCTGCCACCTGCAGATGCCTGGCAGATAGCAGAGAATGTTGTGTCACAAAGCTGGATGCTGAAATTTGTCTTTGGGGTGAATGTGAATGAAATCATCCTTGTCATGCCAGGAGCTATGTATGTGAGCATTGCACCACTTGCAGTAGTCTGTGTTGTCTGCTAGACGTATTCTGAGAGTACCTCTACTCACCTTGTCATGTGGCTACCCTCTCCATTCAGGCTACATGTCTGGCTTCTTTGTGGCCCACCCCAAGCACACGGCTGTTAGCTTACGCTTTTCAGGTGTGTGCAGTGTTTCTGCACATCTGTGTGAATGTACGTGTGTGCACGTGCCTTTTCACTTGACTGTTTCTAGCAGGGCTGCAGAACACAGATTCTTATTTTCTGTTCTGTAATTTTAGGAAAGGGGCCTGGGGAACAGAACTGCTCTTACTCTCGTTTCTCCTTGTTCTTTGTGCTGCTTCCCTGTGGAGCTTGTTGCATTGTTTGCGGACAGAACAAAAGAAAGCAGTGGAGGGAGGCTTTCTGCTGCTGTGCAGTAGGTGATGGGGACTTGGGGCAGAGAGAAGTGGATCCAAGTACTCCGCATGAGCAAGAGCGTTAGAGCCCAAACTTTGCTATGTGAGTGTCTCTCATAGCAAGCTTAGTGCCAGACAAGGCAACGCCTCGTGCAAGGGCCCAGCTAACAGGATCCCAGGCATCTGCTGCAGCTTGGGAATTGCAATTTTCCCTTGTCAGGCTTGATGCATTCAAGTATGTTTCCTCCCTCCAGCTATCCCCGGGCAGGTAGCTCGTCCTGCATTCCCCATGCTCCCCTGTGGCACTTGGTCTCTATCTGTCCATCTCTTCGCTCTCCTCTGTTCTTGAAGTGCCTGCTGTCATGAGCAGTGGCAGCTCCATACCCTTGTGATGCTCCTTTAGCGCTTGCCTGGGGAGTGCAGATGGGTGAGCCTTCCCTGCCATTTTATCACTTACCAAGTGGAGTTGCAGGTTTATATTGGTCACGCCAATGTGGCACCAGTGCAGGAGGAAGGTGCTGTTGGATTGCTTCTGGTTTCCTGTCCTCTGACTAGCCAGGTAATTTAATGAAATACTTTGCCATGTAGGCAGCTGTTCACAGCTTCAAAGTGGTGCACAAACATTAATACAAGCATCCTGCAGCACGCTGCCAGGATGTGACACTAACCCGTCAGCAGGAGACAGCAGTAAGTCACCTTGTGTTTCAAGTGTGCTGCTCCAAAGTACAGTCCCAAGAAACCAGCACTTGAACTTCACCTCTGATACATTAGAGAGCAACTGATCCTGACAGCATGACCAGTATTTGATCCTCGGCTCCTTGAAGTCAGTATGAACAGTTCAGTGGATCCCTGTAACTTCCTGATCCTCGTCTGCTGGGGTGGGAGCAATGGCTGTGTTTCTGCAATGGCTGCTGTCTCCTGGACTCTGGTCTGTGTGTTGGCTCTGCCCTGTAAAGAGAGGAGAGCCACAACCTTCTGTCATGATGAGATGCACTCTCCCCTTGAGGCAGGAAAGAGCAAGGATTGCCAGAGACAGCAGAGCAAAAATCAGCTCTATCAGCGTTTCCAGGTCCTGCTGACACCAGGCTGCCAATAATGAGGTTTGGGAAGTATTTTTAGCCAAATGGGAAAGGAGATGCCCTTGGCTCTTTGTTTTCATCCCCAGGCCAGCACAAACAGGGCTGTGTGGCTCTTGCTGCACCATTGAGCCTGAAGCAGCTGCTAGAGGCACATTTTAGCCTGGTGCTTCCCAACCTCCTGTGATCCACTTGTCCCACAAGGATGTGGCCGCTTGGTGTGAGAATAAATCCCTTCCAGACGAGCCGGGCTGGGCCACAAAGTGACCTGTCACAAAGATGTGTGGGTTGAAGGGGTGTCCAACTCCCCCATTCTTGGGAGGCATCTGTGAGGCACTGCTCACTGCCCCTCTCCCAGCTGCATATGGATGTAGAGCCTCTGGCAGCCACTCGCCCAGGTGGGAGGCAAGCTGGGATGTGGGGTGCCCAAAGGGCACCCCACCTCTCTGGGTAAGCAGCCCCAGCTTGTGGCTGCTCAGAGAGGGACACCTTCCCTCCAGTGCCAATGCTGTGAAGCAGGGAGTCACGCTGAAGTTCAGCATGGCAGAGGGGCTGCATGCATCCTTGGGGGGAACATGAAAACTCACCGTGGTACAGGAAGAAACACCTTTCTAAAGGACCGGTGCTTTTTATTTTATTATATCCTTGTTTGTTGCCTTATAAAAGCTGGAACCACTCTTTTTCAGAGAGTATTTAGTTTCCAGTTGGCTTTCTGGCTTCAGCTGTACACTTCCTGCGTGTAGTGCAATTTTTTTTCAGCTGAGCCATTGTATGAAGTAATACAGTGACAGACTGTCTGTGTATGTGAGGCTGTTTGTATGGAGGCCTTTTGTTTTTTTTCTCTGCAGTGGGAGTCTGTGCTCTGATTGTGTGCATTCTAGGCTTTATCAGCACTGGGAAGATGTTGCTTGGGATTTAAGGTTCTCGGAGATATTCTTGTTTGGCATTCACCAAATCCGGAGACACGTGTCGGACATGGGCATTTTATAGTCTTCAACAGCACAGCAAGAACTACAGCCTGCTTTAACACAAAAGGGAGAGGAGGAAAAAACAAACACAACAAAAAGCTTTTCACACAGTGTTTGAAAAGCTCCCTATTAACAAAACACATGGCATAAAATGTGCTCCTTGTTGCATTCAGGGGAGAAGTGAAACAAACTGCTTGAGAAATGCATTCCTGAGAAAGATGAGCACCAAGAAAGCTGTCTGAATTAAACAGTCACTTCTAACATCCAAACCAACAGGCAGTGCCAGCAGGAAGAGAGGAACATGGATTACAAGGTCCGCATACCAATCAGAGCTGGGGACTGCAGTTCCAGATATGGAGCACCAGACAGCTTTAGGAGGAATGAGCCTATGTCCTATCTCTGAGTACCTGGAGGACCCAGGGATTAATTGCTACCTCTTCCCAGGTGAGAAGCACCATTTGACTTCAGTGGGATGGATGGAGATGAAGCTGGACTACTAGAGGTGGAGAAGCTTGTGGTGGTCAGCACGGACTTTGGTTGGTAAAGATCGTATCGCACAAAATGATGTAAACGGAGCACAGTGGATGGCTGCTTGTTGTTCTAGCTGCTCTGGCTCAGGGTTAGCCATAAGCTCTTGGAAGGGGAGGTCTGTCGTGTGAAGCGGGTTGATGTGCAGCTCTGAGAGGGTTATGGCGGTGGCTTTGGCAGGGCGGGTGGACATCCCTGTGCCCCCTCAGTCTCCAGCTCCAGTGCCAGCTTGGTGCTCCAGAGCCTCCACAGCACTTTGCACAGATGGAGAGCTACAGACCCCCCTGGACTGGCCATTTCCAAAATCACAGTGCGAAGAAGCAGGCTCAGCTCTGCTTTCGTGGCAAATGCAGGCAGTGCTCAGAGCTCTGTCTCCTTCCCCTGGCGCAGTGTCTGTGGTGGCAGCTCTCTGTACCAGTGGTGACAAAGGGATCAGATTTCTGGTTTGCTTTGTGCCCTGCCATAGGGTATGGGCAGTCAGTCCTCAGCAGACAATTTGGAAGTGACAGAAGACAACCTTAGCAGCAAAACAATTAGAAGCATAAGTAAAGGTTACCAGTGGCATGACACAGAGCGCTCCCCTACCAGCCTCCTGCCCTCTGGCCATGCAGGCAGCCCATGTCAGATGTTTCCAGGCTCAGTGATGTCTCCCATCACTAACGGGGTTTTTCTGTGTACCTATTTTTTGCAGACATCTCTGTTTATGCAGCAGTGACATGAGTGTGAACAAAAGAGGCATGTGCTTACCTGAGAAGCAGGGAAGGCATATGGACAGTGAAGTACCATCTTGAACTCTTAACAGTATTAAAAAGTGGAATGGAAGACAGGATGTGTTTGAGGTCAGGTGATGTGGGAGAACAATGGAAGTTGTTATGCAAATGGATTAATTATGTTATTGGAAAGATATTAGGTGGTGTCATCCTGGTTTCTGTTCCTCCTTCCAGCAGTACATGGGACTGATATGTACAAGTCGGAGTGGTCAGAGCTCTCCTTTCTCTTTGCAGTGAGCGAGCGCAGAGTGAATGAGAGACTGCAGTATGTGCCAAGACAGTGTCACTGTCCCTTCTGGAGCTGGCTACGTGCCTGCAGACTCTCTGTTTCCAGCTGGCAGTTGGGGCAGAGAATGCAGGATGGCTAGGAAGTCCCTGGCAATTGGTTCAGAGATGCCTAGGCTTGTACTTGGCTTTGTGTGGCAGATCCTCGTCACCTCTGGATGCAAGGAGGGGGGAGGAAGCCAGCCATGTCGGTGCAGAACATGCTAGATTGTGCATGTGCGCAGATGCGACACAGTGGTTTTTGAACGTTTTTCCTTAACTGCAAGCAAGTGCTGTTTGTATTTCCTCTCTCCTCCCCTGTCTGTCTGAAAGGGAGAGAGCTAGGAAATGTAATCTGGTATTATATAACGCTTGAAACAGTGTAGAGGTGCCTTTGTATATGCCTCCATGAAAGCTGCCCAGCTCTGTGGGTAGGTGCCTCTCAGGAGGCGCACTCATCTGCAGCTGGTTCCCCCCCAGGGCATGGGACAGAAAGGTATGGAGGCCATCAGTGCGTCTGTGTAGAGTGGTCGTCCTTGCGCGCAGAAGATGAGCTGGTGTTCCTCGGCTGTGAGCCATGCGCATGATGGACCCACAGACCACAGCTGGACTATGCCAGGCTTGACACAAGCGCTTGGGAAAGCCGCCCTGCAGCGTGTGGAGTGCCTACACTGTCCTGAACGTGCCTCTAGCCTCCAGCCTGACCTGCTCTGCTCCTCTTGTCTGACATGGCGTCTCAGTACTGTCCTGTCTTGTCAGCTTTCCAGCTTGCTTTGTCCCCACATTTATCTTCTTTCTGTTGTTGGACATGTGGCTGAAGGCTTTAATTTATTCACAGCCCTCCTTTTGGTAGCTTATCCTTTGTACTCTTTGCTGTCTTGTATTATTTAATTCTGTAAAGCACTCTGGGATGCAGTGCGTATGAAAGATGCTGTACACAATAACATTATGCTGTATTGTTTGTGATTTGAAGGCCTTCTGGATTTCTAATTCTGATTGCAGTGGCTGTGTTTGTTATTTCTGTTATGGCTGTGCTCGAGGGCCTCAGCTGGATTGGGCTTCCCTTCCAGTCCCTTCTCCAAGGAGCACACGCCTAATTGTGCCCTGATTTAATGTTAGCTTGCTTTGTTCCACGTGCCGCGTGTATAATGGTTGGAAATGCAGGACATGCCGCTGGGACTGATTGTGTGGGCTCGTGGTGCAATGGCTAAGGCGTAGGGATAGACCCGGGCGTCTGACTGTTCTCGTGAGCTGTGGGCTCGCCCTTTGGGAAGAAGTGGGAGTCAAGCTCACCAGAGGTGGAACAGGGAGCAGGTGGGCTGTTGATGGGATGCCTAGAGAGGGAGCTGTTTGGGGCAGCACTGGAGCACCTGAAGGAGAGCTGTGTGTGAAGGGTCTCTGCTGAGCAGCTGGAGCCGGTCGGAGCTGGAGGCGCTCCTCAGCCTGCTCCTGTGAAATTGGGAAGCCCAAACTAGGGCAAATCTCAGGGCTGCTGGGGATGATGTGCCGTGTTGATTGGGGGGATGCTGGCAGTTGCCCATGACTGCTGCCAGGGTTCTTGCTCCAGCTGCACAGGCTCAGTCTGGATTCAAGAGGAGGCCTTGCCATTTGCAGCTGCTGTAGCTGCAGTTCGAGGTATCTGCCAGTCTGGCTCACAGCCTGCCCATGTGCTGCCAAGCTGTCTTCCAGGTCTCCCACCTGGGTGCGTGCTGTGGCAGGATCAGGAGAGAGGGTGGTAGGTGAGGTGGGCTCCTGGAGCAGGGGTACCCTGCTTCGGTTTGGGTTGGTGTTTGTCCTGAACCTATAGCTCAGAAGCTTCCCAGGGTCATGAGTGGAGTTACAGCCCGTCATTTCTGTATCGCTCTGTCTATCCTTAGCATAAGGTTCCCATCAGAGCAGGTTTTTCCCCTTGTCCACAGTCTGTGCTTAGTTCCACTTTATGCACCAAAAGCCACACTTGAATTTTACTTGAGGGCTCTGGGCTTGCACCCTGGTAGAAGCATGGCCTTCATGTACCATGCTGCGTCAGAGGAAAAGCAAGAGCGGTGATGTAGGGCCTGTTGTGTTAGATCCCTGTTCTCCTGGGGCTGGTGGCAAGGCTGGGCTTGGCACATCCAGCTGTTCAGTTTCCCCTTTTGCTTGGTCTCAGGTACGCCATCGACCGCAGCACAGACACAGAGAGGATCTTTGACATCGATGCCAACACAGGTGCCATTGTGACAGGAAAGGTGCTGGACCGGGAGACGGCAGGGTGGCACAACATCACTGTCCTGGCAATGGAAGCAGGTGAGATGGAGGAGTGTGTGTGGAGCAGATAGTCTGTGCTCAATCAGAGTGGGGCAGAGGGGGAAATATGGGTGCATTCACCGCAGAGGTGACCAAGATGCAAGTGTTAATTAACACTGAAGTAAAAAAATATATATATATAAAAAAATGCAGCAGCACTGAGTCTGACATCTCCCTAGACAACCTAAAAATACTCTTCCTGACTCGAGCATTAATAAGGGAGCATGGTCGAATAGTATATTTGATGAACACTAATCAAATTTGTGTTATCTATGCACCAGCTCTGCCAGTCAACCTGGCTCAGCTCACTCCCTGCATTCACACCTGCTGAGCAGCTCTGGGGGCTCTGTGTTCACATCGCCTGCATCCCTCCGGTTCAGCCATGTGCTGTGGGTGGATGCTCCATCAACTGGAGCCCTGTGGCACAGATGGCTGCCAGCACTTACTTCTGCTGGGGGCTCATGGTGGCTGGGATTTGCAGGCTGTACCTGCACACTGGCTTTGTGGCACTGGATCCCTCCTGTGCCCTTCCTCCTTGGTATCTCTGCCCTTGGTGTGGCTGCAGACCTGGCAAGGCACAGCAAGGGGTGGGTGGGAGGTCCTGGCACTGCAGCAGTGGGAAGGGGCTGGAGGGGCAGAGTGTCCCTGAGTCCCCATGCTGTGGGTGGGGAGCAGTGGTGCTGCCAGCACTGGTATCGCCAGGCTGATTTGGCTCTGTCTGCAGTGCTTGACCTCACCCTGCAGCCCACCAGGAAAGTCTTGAGCAGAGGATGAGGTGAAGCTCTTTTGTCCTCTTCTGAAATTAGCTCTTTTCTGACCCTCCCATGAGAGCCCTGGTGATGGTCTCTTCCTCCCCTTATGGATGTGCTATCCTTTAGCCTGTATTTATAGTAACTGCCAAGTCTGCTCACACCCAGCTGGGAGAGCAGCTTAGTGGCTCTGCAGGTTTTGTTAGTTTATCTTCCCTCCGCGTGGTGGGGGTGGTGGAGCCTGGCATGGACACTTCTAGCAGAAGTTCTGTTTGTCTTCTCCAGTTAAGAAACAGAAGAATAAACCTAGGTCCTGCTGCTCAAAGGAGCTGTGAATAAACTCTTCTTGAGGAATGAAAAGAAAATAGTAGCAGCAAAAGGGCAGGCTTTGCTTCCCCACAGGTGTTCTGCTGCAGGTAGGAGGCTGCCCTGGGCATCCTGCTGCCCTCTATCGTGTTTGCACAGTTCCTTGGCTCAGGGCCTCTTCAGGTCCCGTGTGTGATGGTGGATCTGGCCCAGTGGGCCCCAGGGAGTGCTCTGTGTTCCTCCTTTTTCTGAGCCTGAAGATGGAGAAGGAGCTTCAATCCCAGGCACCGTGCTGGGAAGCAGAAAGGCATTGCTGTATTCTTCAAAGTTTTCTGCATTTTGGATGCCCAAGTCGCGAGGGCAGCCTGAGACACCTGCTGTGCTGTCCTACCCCATGGCAGCTGGTACCAGGGAGCTGCTTTGGCTGCAAAGCACCTTCTGACATCCGAGGACGTATGCCGATACCTGCCCGTCTGTGGGCAGGAGCCTTCCCCAGGCTTCACTCAGAGAGACCCCTCAGGAGTTGTGGTTCTCATTTCCTTGCTTGTTCTTCAGCAG